TTGGGCAGCATAACCACATTAAGGGGGATCAGTATGCTGACTCTGGCTCTTCTTGCTGGAATATAGTTAAAGGGTGATTTATTTTTTTCTCTTTTTTTCTTTTAATGCCCAGAACAATTTTTTTTTCCTTACTCTTATAAGGTGAGAATTTGGCTTGCCAAAGGCATTCCTGTTTAAAGGGTGTAAACCACCCTACCTTATCACTTTGGCATTGCCACACCTGCCGAGGAGCAACTGTGATAATGGGGGAAGAGAAAAGCCACACTAAAGGACGGAAATTAACCCCATGATTTGCTCCTGAGACTTAGGGTGAACCCCTGGTTTCTGAGAAGCCATCAGGTGTTTGCTGTTTTGTGGACTGCAGAGTCTTGCAGACTTTCCCACCTCAGCTTTTGGAGGTGAGGTGTCTGCTGTCTTCTGTTGTTCATGTTGCAGGTTGGTTTCTGTAAACTGGTTGTTTTTATTTCTAATACATCTCTTTTTTTTTTTTTTTTTTTTTTTTTTACATTTGCTTACAAAGCAGTCACCGACGAAGATGAAGAGGAAATTGCTCCAGACATTTTAAAGGTAAAACTAGCCCTTATGGTCTGAAAAAAAGTTGCCCAAAGTTGCTGTTTGCAGCAAGGGAGGAAGGGAAGTAGCTGTCAGACCCAGTCCTATAGAAACTGAACATACTTTTATGTAATCCCAGGTGAGCCCTCTATGACTACTCAGATTTATGCTTGTTGGGCAATGTTTACCCTGGCTTCCCTTTCCTGGGTACTCTATTACTCATTATTGTTCAAATCCTAGCAAATAAATAAATGATTTTTGCTATGGCAACAGGACTCTGGTGGCTGCACAGCACAAGATTCCCCTAAAAGCCTGCCTTATTCTTCCCAGTGTGGCTCTGATTGCTGGGCAGTGTATTAATACACAGATATAGGGGTTTGGGCTGGACCCTGGGTTTGTGACACAGTTCTGGGTGAAGCCGTCAGCTGAGCAAATAGTGACAAATCCCTGCAAATATCCACAGCTGAAGGGTGCAAAATTCTTCCTTTCCCCGAGGCAGAAATGGGGGAATCACTGCTGGGACACAACGAGCAGAGTCCTCTGGACTTGGCTCTGCTGGGGTACCGTTTTCTTCACGGAAAATGACCCCTGTCGCCTTTTGTGTTTCCATAAAAGTCTACATAGTGCTGGCTGTGCAAACCTGTTGCCTGGCCTCTTGATTTTCCTTTTTAGATGGTTCCTGGGACTGAGTCTCCCCGTGTTCCCTACGCCCAGTGCTCGTTCTGCTCATTAGCTGCTCAGAGGCTTTCTGGAGGCAGCGACGTTGACCCACGTGTCCCCTGGTTTTGCCTGAATACGTTGCCCTCCGTCTTCTGTTGGATCAGGCAGATCTTTGTGCTTCCCCTGGAACCACCCGGTGCCTGGGGAAGGAGCTGAGTCCGACCCTCTGCCGGTGCCTGGTTGTTCCTCCGGTGTTTGCTTTGCCTGGGTGCGTCCGGGTGCTTTATTATTGCAGAACAGCCACAGGGCTTTTCCTGCTTCTTGGCAGCCGTGCAGGGGGGTGGGATGCTACCGTAGAGGGGACCAGTGTGGGTTTTTGGGGAGGGGGCTCGTGCCAAGGTGCCCTCACACCAAGCAGGATGGGCCGGTGTCGGCCCCGCGTGGGCTGCACTGGCCCAACCAGAGGCATTGCTGAAGCAGCAAATTATCTTGTGACGAGCTCTCCCCCAGGCTGGGGCCCTGGGTGTGTGGGGCTGGCACTGCCGTGGTTAATGATTGCTCTCTCTGGATGTCTCCAGCGTTGCCTCCCGCAGCAGGTACCTGAGAAGCCCCACCAGCAGAGCCTACTGGAACTGGCTGTGGGCGAGAGGAAGCTGCTCCAGTTCAGGGCTTACCCTGGGCTGTTGGTGTGTTGCCTTTGGGGGTGTCCCCATGTCATTTCTGCTGCTTTCTACTCTTTGATTTTACTCCCTGGTGAGGCTGATTGCTCCTCCTGCGCTACATGCAGCTTTGGTCCAAGCTGGACTTAAAGTCATTTTTCTTAGAGGCTTTCCTCTTGTTTAGTAGAAAACCGGGAAGGCTTAGAATTTAAGCGTGGGAGATGGAATGAAAAACAAGGCATGTGTCTCCTGTCCCCTTTATTTGCCATGTTTAGCCAAGAACTCCTAGCCTGCCTGCGTAAGCAGCCTGTGTGCAGCCTCTGCTTCGGGGAGAGCTGCTGAGCCTCACGGCCGTCGTGCCTGACAGCGTGGCTTGTCCCCCAGCACAGACGCCACATTGTGAGCGGTCCCTGCCTGGCTCGGATCAGGGAGCATCTAGGTCAGCAGCAGGGGTGAGAAATTCAGGGAATAGCAACTGGGATGCTCTGATCTTTCAGGGATGTTTTATTCCTACCCCTTTTCTCTGAAATATAATCATTCCTTTCCCCGTGTGTCATCTGGAGAAGGTCAGGGGCAGGGAAAGGGGAAAGGCAGCTGGTTCCTGCTCTGCTATTCATAGAATCATAGAATAGTTTGAGTTGGAAGAGACTTAAAGATCATCCAGTCCCACCCCTGCCCTGGGCAGGGACACCTCCCACCAGACCAGGTTGCTCCAAGCCCCCTCCAACCTGGCCTTGAACCCCTCCAGGGATGGGGCAGCCACAGCTTCTCGGGGCAACCTGGGCCAGGTTCTCACCACCCTCACAGCAAAGAAGTTCTTCCCCACGTCTCATCTCCATCTCCTCTCTTTCAGTGTCAAACCCTTCCCCCTTGTCCTATGGCTCCCCTCCCTGACCCAGAGTCCCTCCCCATCTCTCCTGTAGCCCCTTGAGGGACTGGAAGGGGCTCTAAGGTCTCCCCGGAGCCTTCTCTTCTCCAGGCTGAACCCCCCAACTCTCAGCCTGTCCTCCCAGCAGAGGGGCTCCAGCCCTCCATCCTGCCTTCTCCTGGGAGCATGGGGAAGGGAGCCAGCCTGTGTCCGAGGGATGTCCCCAACTGGGGCAGAGCAGCCACAGCTCCATCGTGCCTATTTGCAGTGCAGAAGGAGGTGTTAGGTATTCCCTCTGGTATCTTGGTTTGAGTCAAGCTCTCATCGTTGCTTTTTTGAAAATCAGGAGTAAAATACTCACTGTTTTGCCTTCAAAACCCTTCTCACTCACAGAGCTTCAGTGTGTCTGTCCGTGGGCAGCGCAGGGGGAGGCAGTAGCAGGCTGGCTCCTGCTCACTGATGGTGTGCTGGGGCTGGCCCCTGTGCGGTGGCAGGTTTGGCTTTAGAAGACCCCGTTGGTGGCAGCATCGTTGCACCGGTGCTCCTGGTGCAGGAGATGCAGAGGCAGTGGCTGCTGTCAGAAGAAATACTTGTCTGGGCAGCACGGGTGGTGTGTTGTGCTTGATACCTGTTTCTCAACCCATGGGGTGTTTTGTACTTGAGGGGAAACGAAAAATATGGCACATGGAGCAAATGTGCTGCACTTTCTTCTTGCTGGTTGTTATGACACAGCATGAGAAGAGATCTGCTGAACCATCCAGCTCCTACTGCCTCTCCCAAGCAGCCATGCCCTTTTAATTCTGTTGATAACGCAATTCACTCAATTTTAAATGTAGTTAGAAGTAAAGGGATCACAACACCCTTTAGGCAGCTGCTCCTGAACCATGATCTGCATTGGCTAGATGCTTCCCTACTCTTGGCATGAATTTATTCCTGGCAAGCTCTTCCTCCTTGTTTGTCTGTTGTGTGCTGGCATCAGCAGTTCTTCTCTGCTCCTTGGTGTTTGTTTTCTTGGTGTACTCACAAAGAGCTGTTGTGCTTTTTCTCAGCTTTAGTTTTTGCTAACGTGGACAGGCTGAAGCTCCTCTCCACCTGCTGAGATGGTTTGCAACCACATCTTCTGAGCAGAATGGTAGATAATGATTAGGACATGAAAGGCTGCAGGGGAACAACCCCTTCCCTCAGCTTTTCCTTTCAACTTGGGACAGCACATCTGGAGTTCCTGCGTCTGGGTTTGGGCATCCTTCTATGGGATAGATGCAGAAGCTGGAGCGAGTCCAGCAGAGGCTACCAAAGTGCTCCTGGGGCTGGAGGAAATGGTGTCTGAGGAGAAGCTGAGGGAGCTGGTTTGTTCTGCCTGGAGGAGAGAAATAGCAAGTCCAGTTGCTGCCTTCCTCCAGCTGCTGGGTGACACTGGGGAGGATGGAGCTGGGCAGTCCCTGTTTCCAGGGGAAATGCCCTGCTTTATTCCCAGTCTATTGAGGCAGCATCCTAAGGGTGGTTTCAGTCCTGTAGCCATCCAGAATTTTCCTTCTCAGTTATTTACAGGTGATGAACTTCTCTTAGAGCAAGGGTTGATCTTAAATGTCGTCTCATCTCTAGTGTTCTTACTCTCCAGTTTTCTGAATGACCCATAAAATTCTGGTTTTTCCTTGATGAATTCCCATGTTGGAGTCATCTTAGTTCTCAGTTTCCCAGTTATTGTGCAAAGGTCGCTAGTGAGATACTAAATAAAACTGGTTTCAAAACAGAGCCTTTAAGTACCTCCTACTTGTCCAGTACTTTCCCTCTTTACTACCACCTGGTACCACCTCTCCTTTAGCTGCTTCCATCTTCTCGCTTTTGGCATTAAACCCTGTGTTTTATCTAGCTCAAATAGCTTGTTGTCAGGATGTCCTCCCAAAAATGTAGTCCTGACAACTGATGGTTCCATAGTGTAGAGGCATCCTTGGCAACACCAGTCCCTCTTGAGGGATGCTCCAGCAGCTCCTCCTGGCTGCTGGGCACCGTTGTGAGAGGATGGCAAAGTGTGCACCAGGATGAAAAGCCAGAGGTGTTCTGGACATAGCCTCCTGACCCCATCCCATCTATTTGGTGATCTGCCTTTGTGGTTTCTCTCGGCACGGCAGGAGATCTGGGAAAGGTGGGGGGGGGACACACAATGGCTCCTTCAAAGCAGAGTGAAGCCCTGGGATGGGAGGTGGCTGTTGCCAGAGATTGGGATCAACGGTTTCTAATAATTCCCCTTTGCTGTTGTCTAGATGAAGATCTCTTTCAATGAGACAAGTTTGCAGACTATGTTTGAGTACCCGTCAGAGAGCTCACTGGCAGAAGAGGATGAGGAGGAAGAGGATGGACATGCCTCTGAAACAGAGGAGGACAAGTCTTGCACCTTTTACATTCCACGCCCAAATAGCACTTTGCATCCCAGTACACCGAACTCAGGTGAGCGAGGTGCTGTGGTGGCACTGGGGGGTTACTGGTGGTGTCTGACACCATCTGTGTTTCCTGCAGCCCCTCATGGGGCTCCACGCAGGTGGAAATGCCAATGGAAGTGACAGCCGATGGCAGAACTGGGGCTTAGTGGGGAACCACAGATGGGCAGCTTCCGTGCTGTCCCTGCCAGCATCCCGATTCTGTGCCCTTTTGGGGCAGTGAGAAATACTCATGTCAGCTTTGTCCTTCCAGCAGATTTATCCAGCTACACCCCAAAGCACTCTGTGAAGTTCAGCGAGTGGCAGGAGCAGAAGTATGAGGAGATGCCTGCTGCAGAGGGAGCCCTCCCAAAGGAAGCTGATGCCCATGGGAGCCAAGTCATGGTGAGACTTGAAATAAGCAGGTTTTGGCTTTGTCCCGCTGTGTGGTTATCCCAGTGCTCGGGCTGGTCTGGGCAGGGGATGGGATGGGGTGGACGTGTCCTCCACTGACCCCCTGTGTGTATTCACTGCCCAGGGAGGTGTGCCACCACGCACAAAGGGACATGAGGTCCCAGTGCCACTCGCAGACCTGCCTCTCCAGTGTGTGTGTAATCCCTGCCAGCATCCCCATTCTGTGCCCTTTTGGGGCAGTGAGAAATACTCATGTCAGCTTTGTCCTTCCAGCAGATTTATCCAGCTACACCCCAAAGCACTCCGTGAAGTTCAGCGAGTGGCAGGAGCAGAAGTATGAGGAGATACCTGCTGCAGAGGGAGCCCTCCCAAAGGAAGCTGATGCCCATGGGAGCCAAGTCATGGTGAGACTTGAAATAAGCAGGTTTTGGCTTTGTCCCGCTGTGTGGTTATCCCAGTGCTCGGGCTGGTCTGGGCAGGGGATGGGATGGGGTGGACGTGTCCTCCACTGACCCCCTGTGTGTATTCACTGCCCAGGGAGGTGTGCCACCACGCACAAAGGGACATGAGGTCCCAGTGCCACTCGCAGACCTGCCTCTCCAGTGTGTGTGTAAAGGAGACATAAGGCAGCTGGCAGGCTTTGTACTCCAGGGCATGTTTGGAGGGGGGAATTAAACGTGCTCGTTAGCCCCGGGCAAGGCGCCAGCGCAGCCTTCACCGTCCAAAGGTGTGGGTGCTCATTCCCTTCGGGTTCGATGACGCCTCCGTGTCAACTCTGCTTTCTCCACAGCTCACCCCGGCAGAGAAGGGCGGACTCTCGGATTTCAGCAGCGAGCCCGCTCTGTATTTCTGATGGCTTCATCTCCTGCCCTGCAGCAGCGGCTGCTGGAGGGAACGTGTCAGCACACCAGCCCAACGACCTTCTGGGTCCCTCCTCTCACTGTGGTTTTCGCTGGATCCCGATGCCAAGGGTGGACTAGATGCTGTCAGACACCTTCGGAGAATATTTGCACTGGATTCTGGGACCTAACTACTACTTTTAAGTCGTATGATTTATTCTACCTGTGGCCTTGCATATTCCTTGTTCAAGATCGGCTGCCGATGAGGCAGAGCATCTTAAGAGCAGATCTGTAGTCCCGGGATGGATGTGGATTCTCCCAGTGTTTATCTGAGTCCACACATCCTGGCACTGTATGGAGCCTGGACGACTTTTGTGACACCTCTCCCATGGGAGGCCCCAGTGAAGAACAGAGTTGGGGCACTGGGAGCTCCAACTTCTGGAGTTGGAGCACTGGGAGCATGTGGGCAGTTAGCTGGAGTCACAGGGGCGGCTGTGATTTGGCAGCTGGATTGGGTGTCAGTTTGGAAAACTATTGAAGGTTCATGGTTTGTTCTTGGCACGTTTCTGGGTCTAGTTTCACTGAACCATCGTGGGATTCACGTGCCAGTTCTGCTGCTGTGAAGGAACCTGAACACAGCGTGAGGGATGGGAAGTGGAATGAATGCCTTTGGCTTTAGGGGTCAGTTTTGCACTGATCTGTACAGAAGTGTCCACACTGGCCTGAGCCTCTTGAAGATTCCCAAACATTGGCCATAGCTTTGACCTGTCTGTACCCAGCTCTGGCCTCCAGTCTCTAGGAACTGGTGATTGTGCTCCAGTTTGTCAGTGCCTCTGGTTGCTTTGTCCAGCATCTAATGGGGCCAGATTTAACTCCCTTGGTCGGGGGGGAGGTTCCCTTCGAGCCATGCTTCCTCTGCTCCTCTAATGCAAAGCACAGGAGGGCGATTCACCTGCTTTCTTCTGCAGAACTTGAACAAGGAATATGTTTTGTTTTTTTTTTTTTCTAGGATTTTTATAGTTCTATTGTAATTGTTTAATGCAGCCAATATGCAAAGGAATCTGCTAGACTCTTCCATTTCAGTTTTCTACTACTGTAAACTCAGGGTCAAACTTGCACTCTGGCAGAGATGGAACACTGCTGCTAATGTGATTTGTACTTCTGGGATTAAAAGAGATGCGGTTGGAATAGATACGGCCTCTTTGGGCTTTATGAAATGAGTGGGACCCCAGCGTGTGGCTCCATCCAAAGGAACAGGCTGGTATCTTTGATTAAAGTTGACAGGTTTATTGGTTTGTCTGTTCTATAGAGATGATGAATGTCTACTCAAGGTGACACCAGTCTGTGAACTGAAAATGCCCTGCGTACCTTGCACTTGTTTTGGTGTATATTGTAGCAGCAGGAGGAAGGCTGTTATGCTGAAAAATACGGTCAGGACTAAATGTTAGGACATACCTACTTCTAGCTGTTCTCCTCTTCTGCCCTCGGTGCCTAAATGTTCCTGGAAAAATTATGAAAAAAAAAAAAAAAAAAAAAAAAAAGA